GCAACACCTCCAGCCCAAGAACACTGAATACGGGGGCTCCCCAAGGATGTGTGTTGAGCCGCCTTCTCTTCACTCTGCTGACCCACGACGAGATCTACTACAGGGGTGAAGTTAACCATCTGGCAGAGTGGTGCAGCTACAACAACCTGTCCCTGAATGTGGAGAAGACCAACAGCGACTCTACTTCCTCTGCAAACTGAGAAGTGCAAGAGATTCAACCCCCATTATGAGCACCTTCTGCAGAGGCACCATTGAGAGGATCCTCACCAGCTGCATCACTGTGTGGTATGACTCCTGCACTGCTGCAGGAAAAAATGACAACGGGTAGTGAGAGCAGCCGAGAGCATTGTGGGGACCTCTCTTGCCTCCCCAGGAGATCTACTGCGCCTGCCTCATCCAGAAGGTCCTCTCCATTACAGGTGACTCCACTCATCCCTTCAACAGCTTCTTCAGTTTGCTGCCATCAGGAAGGATACTGAAGAGCCTCCGGCCAGAACCTGCAGACTGAGAGACAGCTTCATCCATCGGCTGTCAGGATGCTGACCATCTCTGCATCGAGAAGGGGCCTAAGGGTACATCTGTCACCATCCTACAATGCTGTGATTGCAGCCATTCCCCACTTTCTGTGAAGGAGACTCATGGCCATTTGAGAATCTGTGTCTTTGATTAGTTGTCATTGATCAATGGTCATAAGAATTTGCATACTAACAATCATGGAACTAACCCCCCAGCACATTGTTCATTCAGTGGTGCTAGTTTCCTTCACTGTGCAAATGTCCTGTTTATAAGATAAAACCTGCAGTCAGCTGAGACTGAAGACGTCACCTGGATGAAACGTTTCTCCCACTGAAAACGTCCAGATGAACAGAACCAACCTTTGGGATTTACTTAGCTGGATGATTCAGCATCAAGATGTTATTTTATTAATATCTTTAAAATGTTAGCAGCACAAACGTAGCACAAATGTTTGACATCATTTTTCTTTGATCTGGGTAATGTGGGGGGGCTGGTTGACCTTTTGACCTTTACATTTTCATTAATATCTTTAAAACAGAAGCAGCACAAA